CTACCAATCCATATCTTAATTTTATCGAAGCGAGTGAAGTCCATAGATTTTTCAGAGAAAAAGACAGAACTAATAAGGTTTCTTTGCAATCTTAAATTCCTAAGTCAACTCTCTCGTCCAGTAGCGTTCTTCGTCTTCGTTCTGCCTCCACTGCTATAATCTAACTAATAAGGTATTTTTGATTCTCTCTTCTGCAATTCCAATTACTTCTCATTTCTCTCTACTTATGGAGATTTAAGCAACAACCTGACGAATCCCATTTCTGCTTGGGTTTACTTCAGAAATGCTTTTTGAATCATTAAATTTCAACACTTGGGAATCTCTTACCCATTTACTTGTCTTTGTTCTTGATGCTGTTTGTTGTGTATCTGTAATGCATGATGCTTTATTTGTTCTTTGTTTTGGCAGATTTAAGTCCATTAGCAGTAGATATTGATCCAAGAACAGCATTTACTGAACAAATCATGCTTACTCTTTCCAAGTTTCATGTGATACTAATCCCATTACTCTTCTTGATCTCGCTCTTTTCGCCATTGCTTTCCACTTCAATACCTATCAACATTTGGCCAAAGCCAAGATTTCTCTCATGGCCTCAACATATAGCAACTGCCCTCTCTCCAAATTTCACCATCATTTCCCCTCAACACCAATACCTTACATCCTCTGTAACGCGCTATGTCCACCTGATACGCTCAGAGAACTACTCGCCTTTCGTTACCCGTCCTATCAAACTTATGAAAGGTCACACCTTAATCAACCTTGTAGTCAATGTTACCGATCTTTCTCTTCCGCTTCACCACGGTGTTGATGAGTCATATAACCTCTCCATCCCCATTGGAAGCTCTTCCGCACACTTGTTAGCTCAATCGGTTTGGGGAGCTATGCGTGGTCTTGAGACATTCTCTCAGATGATTTGGGGAAGAGCTCCTGATTTGTGTTTACCAGTTGGAATTTATATTCAAGATTCTCCTTTGTTTGGCCATAGAGGCGTTTTGCTCGATACATCGAGGAATTACTATGGAGTCAACGATATAATGAGGACAATCAAGGCCATGAGTGCAAACAAACTCAATGTGTTTCATTGGCACATCACTGATTCACAATCTTTCCCGTTGGTGCTTCCTTCTGAACCTTCACTCGCTGCAAAAGGAGCTTATGGACCAAACATGGTATACACTCCAGAAGATGTCTTAGGGATTGTTCAGTTTGGTTTTGAGCACGGCGTTAGAGTTCTTCCTGAAATTGACACTCCTGGTGAGTCCATTTCTTGATTTACTCTTGCACAAGAACTTAGCTTTGGTTCTAATAGATACTGTTGAAACTTCACAGGCCATACAGGATCATGGGGAGAAGCTTACCCGGAAATCGTGACATGTGGAAACATGTTTTGGTGGCCTGCAGGAAAAAGTTGGGACGAGCGGTTAGCTAGTGAACCAGGGACTGGTCAGCTTAATCCATTGATTCCGAAGACATATGAAGTTGTTAAAAATGTCGTAAAAGACGTTGTTAAGCAATTCCCTGAACCTTTATTCCATGGAGGTGGAGATGAAGTTATACCAGGCTGTTGGAAAACCGATCCTACGATCAATTCTTTCTTGTCTTCTGGTGGAACACTAAGCCAGCTTCTTGAAAAGTACATTAATTCGACATTACCTTACATCGTGTCGCAGAACCGAACAGTTGTTTACTGGGAAGATGTTCTGCTGGATGCACAAATCAAGGTGGATCCATTGCTTCTTCCTAAAGAGCACACAATCTTACAGACTTGGAATAATGGTCCTGTGAACACAAAGAAAATTGTAGCTGCTGGTTACAGAGTAATTGTATCTTCATCTGAGTTCTACTACTTAGACTGTGGGCACGGTGGGTTTCTAGGGAACGACAGTCAATATGATGAGCAAGGAGACGGTGGCGGTGGCGGTGGCAGTGGCGGTTCTTGGTGTGGACCGTTTAAAACATGGCAGACCATATACAACTATGATATAACCGATGGTTTGCTCGATGAGGAAGAGAGGAAGCTGGTGCTTGGAGGAGAGGTTGCATTGTGGTCAGAGCAAGCTGACTCAACGGTGTTAGACTCACGGCTTTGGCCACGTACCTCGGCTTTTGCAGAGAGCTTGTGGTCAGGGAATAGAGACGAGAGAGGTGTTAAGAGATATGGTGAAGCTGTGGACCGGTTAAACCAATGGAGGTATAGAATGGTGAATAGAGGGATTGGAGCTGAACCTATTCAGCCATTATGGTGTTTGAAGAATCCTGGAATGTGTAATACAGTTCATAGTGCTTTCGAAGATCAATAAATGAAAGAAAAAAGGTTGGAAATTTGATCAGACTCAAAAGAAAACAGAAGCATCATCTTGATCAGGATCTTTTGAATAATGTTTATTCTAACAAGATTTGAGTATAACTGTAACATGTTTGTATTCATTTGATTAAGATGATAAGTATGTAAGTGTAACATGTTTCAGAGTGGCTTATGTATTGGATATTGAAAAGGGTGAGACATTGTATAACTGTGGCACTGGTTACTTGAGTTATGGTTTGTAAATGTCACATGCTGAAGTTTCAGGGTTTTTGC